ACCCAATGCAGCCAAAAATAATAAATAAATAAATCTTCAAAAAAAATTTTAAAAAACAAATCAGTAACAATATGATGGTAGCAACTTAAATAACAGATGCTCAATATTTAACAATTAACAGTATAAAACCAAAAACCCTACGAAATATACTCTTGACTAAATAACTTCAAAAGATTGTTTTGGGCAGGAATGATAAAACAGGATAACTTACAATGTATTGTAGATTTCACATTCACGCATTATTAAAAAAAATAAGCCTTACCTTAGTATAGTGCAAAAGGGAGTTGGCAAAGAAACGACACAATTTGAGTGTTTTCTGAAATAATTTGCAGTCAGTATTATCCTGTTCCAAAAAAAGGAAATAAGAAAGCATAATGAATAGGAAAAGAATATGAAATTAGCTAAACTTGTAAATGAGACAATATTTTCTAAAAAGATCTCTTAATAAAGTGTAAACATTTTCCATAAAAAAGTAATTCTTCTCTGAGTTGTTATAAGCAATACAAACACACATCAAATGATAAAATATGTCAAAAAATTAAACTCTACATCACTGAAAAGAAATCTTAATCTATAACAGCAAAAGAGGTGATCATTTTTGATTGATCTGAAAGTGAAAGAAACTTTTAATACCTTATTGTTCTTTGCTATATGGGGATCAGTAGCTGGTCAAAAGAAAAAGGTCTTACAAACAAATAAAAGAATGAGATATAAAAGAAAACAGGTAAGACATGAGAAGGCAGTTCACAGAAAATATAAATTTCCAATAAACTAAAATTGAAAAATTCTAAATTACAACCTAATTACATATCTTTTGAAGGGGGAGGGGAGAAAACTATTTGATTAGCAAAGATTTAAGACTGATAATATCCCAGAGTTGAGGAAGTGGAGTAGCAAGCACTTTATTTTAACAGTCATGGGAGCATAAAATAATACACTCTTTGCATTATTATTAAAAGCTAGAGTGTTATAAATTCCTTGACCCAGTAGCAATCCCACTTTTGGAAATATATCCTATAGAAATACCAGCACAGGTATGCAATGCAATCTTTCTTATATAATGAAAATGGAAATAAATCCAGTATCCATCAGCTGGAGAATGGTTAAATAAATTCAAGGTATAAAACTGGATGATGAATACATAGAGATTCATTATTAAAAAAAAAAAAATTCAAGGTATATTCACAAAATGTAGTAGCATAGAGCTATTAAAAGGAATTGGGTAGATACACCTTCATGAATACAGAAAGCCCTAAGACAGATTAAGTAAAAAATCATGCTGCAAAACAATATGTATAATATCATCCTATTATTATTTTTAAATGTGTGTTATGTGTTAATATTTCCTCCCTAACCCTCCCAAAATAAATTGAAATCTTACCTGTGGTTCTCTGTAGCACATTAAAGTAGGATTTCACTGTCCATGTTAGGTATTTGTGTAATGTGTGAGTGTTTTCTGAGCATGTATTACATTTGTAAGTTGATAAAACACTGGGTAATGCCAAGATATCTATGTGTATACAGGGGATGTAGAGGACAGTGGAGTCACCCTACCTGGATTGAAATCCTGGCCTTACCACTACATCTGCATGATCGTGGGAAAGTTACCAAGCCTCTCTATGAGGGTGCAATGTGGCTTACACTAAGGTTACTGTGAGGTTTAAATAGTGTCTGACACTTAGGCAACTTAGCTTAATAAATATTGGTTGTCATGTCGTCCAAATGTGTAATACACACTATACTCCAAAGAGCTTTAAATTAGTACCTTAAAATTAAGTCAAACAGATACATTATTATCTTTAATGTGGAGAATAATTTCAAATGAAATAACTTTATTAACTGTGTATGTTCAATCTCTTTACAAAAATATATCAAAACCTTAATTAAACCAATCAAAGTGGAATTGAATGATCCACTAATTGAATATGACCCTTCATTTTTACCTTTTATAAAAATATTTGGAAATAGTCAATTTTCCTCAGCAAGATTAAGTTAGGTGAAAATTCACCTCTTTGATAATTATGAACTCTCTCATACACTGCTATGGAAGTTTAAAAGGACAGAGATTAAAAATGAATATAAGATACTTGTAAGATACTTAATAAGAAATTTTATTCAGCTTAGATGTCACATCACAAGAAACTGTTATTGACTTCATGATTGGGTTCCTACCTTTACTCACATAGGCCAACCCGCAATTCTCCGAAGATCACACTAGTCTAATTACCTGCTTATACTATCTCCCAACCTAGACTATAAGTTATTGGAGGCAGAAAGATATGGCTGATTTAGTACCCAGCACATTTTCTGGCACACAGTAGGGACTCTGGAGATAGCTGGTAAATGAATTAAATGAATAAATGGTGACACACAACTTATCATGTTTGCCTACTTTAAATTTTTCTTTCTCATTCAAGAGGAAATTGTATAAGATTTGGTTGAAGACTCTGGTTTTACTTCATTACTAAATAGCATACCAATTAATCTAGAGCTGATTTTCACATTTTCAAAAAGCAAGTGTACAACACAAATACTATCCCACCTTGATTTACTCAACTGTTTAAGTCAGAAAGTTTGCATCTCAATGCCAATAAAAAAGGGGGGGTGGGGATATAAACAAGGAAAACCATTTTTAATGTTTCAAAATATTGAGTATCCAGTCTTCCTTTCTTTAAATAAAACAAGAAAAATACCGATAAAATCTGAATGTAGTGAGCAATGAATCTAAGTGTAGGCAATAGATATAAAAATATGAGTTTATTTTCTGAATATAACTTTCAGTAAGCATTCTATGAACAAAAGTAGGAATTACAGTGCAAATTAAATTTATATCTAAGTGTTACAAATAAATTTCCCTATCTTTATAGAAAAACTAAATTATTTGTGGCTAAAAAGCTTGTTACAAAGTCTAATACAACAGTCTCATTTTGAAACCATGTTCAAGACTTAAGAGGGAATAAATATCAATTTTAGGGGCTGTCACGGGTTGAACTGTGTCCCTTAAAAAGACAGCGTGAAGCCCTAACCCCCAGTACCTTTATTTGGAAGTAGGGACATTGTAGGCGCAATTAGTTCAGATGAGGTCATACTGGAGTAGGATGTGCCCTTAATCTAACATGACTAGTGTCCCTATTATGAAGATGATAAGAAGAGACAGGGAGAGGACACCACTTGATGATGGAGGCGGAGACTGAAGTTATACAGCTGCAAGCCAAGGAATGCCAGTGATAGCAGAAACTAAGAAAGGCATGGAGCAGACTCTCCCCTAGAGCCTTCAAGAGAACAGGGCCCTGCTGACACATTTCAGACTTCTATCCTCTAGAAGTGTGAGTGAACAAATTTGCCACCTGATTTGTGGTAATTTGTTATAGCAGCCTCAGGAACCTAATTTAGGGACTGATACATCTACATGCTTCCATAAATAGCATATTACCTATGAAATCTAGAGGTTTTATTCTGATGTTTTTAAAAACAAGGTGAAAAAACTGCTTGGAAGAATTTAATGAAATAGTTTGATTCTGCAATAAATATCAATAGTGAACAGCAGAGGGCGATGCTAATCAAAATTTAGAGTTAAGAATGGAAAAACTACACAGACCTTCTCAAAGCTCCATTTCAGGCAATGGACAGTAAGTAGTGCTAGTTACGTTTATCAGTACCAAATAAGTAAAGAAAAACAAGTAAGGCAAAACATGAAAATTTGCTTGGACAGTTAGGAAAGTTTACTATTTAAATTCTCTGATTTTCATATACAAGCAGTTTATATACACTGAACTTATGTATTCAATACTTCATGTACAAATAGCCATCCTGGTCAGGTACCCTCGGGACTTCTCTTTCTTCTTCCATTATAGACTATACTGTGGCTTGGGCTTTCCCCATCTCACTCCTGTCCAGGAATCTCTGTCTAATCTTACTCTCCAAGTAACTCTAACTGGGGGATCTGTGGTGTCAAGATAAGCAAGACGGAAATTGGAAAAAGAGGTTGAGGTTGAGGTTGAGGTTGAGGATACAGAGGTATAGGATAAAGGTGGATAGGGGAACATCCTTCCTGCCATTGACACAGGATACCCAACAAAATGCCTTCTCCTTTCGGGAAGGTGAGGGGAATTAGAAAGGGTATATGAAGGAAGTGGGGACAGAAAAGAAAAGGAAAAAAGAAAGAAAGAATGTAAGGGAAGGATAAAGAGAAAAAGAAGAGAAGCAAGAAGGAAAGGGTGTGCCCCTTCCTAAAGTTACTCCTCACTCCCTCTTACCAACTTCAGGGCCCCTTTTCAAACTTCCACCCTCCTCTCGGGTTTGTCTTTCCAGATCATCCCTGCCCCATGAGTTGTGATCAGTGTTTAGGAACTGGATGAATCCTTACATGTCCACCCCCATAGCTGCTGGGCAGGGAAGAGCACAGGTACAGAGGAATACCCTGTATCAGTTTGCAGGTCTACAACAGGAAGGGATGTTACTGTTATTCTACGGAGAAATATTTAACTCATTTTCCCACTGAAATTACTGCTTATAACTGTGAGGTCCTGACTACTATTAATCCTATAATTTAAGACTATTACAAGTTAAACAAACTTTAAAGAGCTAGTGTGAGAACAGAAGGCACTATGTATAAACACTGTTATAGGAAAATATACTGCAATTCCCAATAAGCATATTAAAATTTTTTAGAATACAATCTGTTTTATAAAAGGGATGCCAATTCAACACTATAACTTTTTTTTTTTTTTTTTTGCGGTACGTGGGCCTCTCACTGTTGTGGCCTCTCCCGTTGAGGAGCACAGGCTCCGGATGCACAGGCTCAGCGGCCATGGCTCATGGGCCCAGCCGCTCCACGGCATGTGGGATCTTCCTGGACCGGGGCACGAACCCGTGTCCCCTGCATCGGCAGGCGGACTCTCAACCACTGCGCCACCAGGGAAGCCCCAACACTATAACTTTTTGAAATCAATATAAATGTAAGTATACACCAAGTATACACACAGCTGTATACTGCATCTCTACAGGTTGTAATGGATTGGTGAAGAAAAGGTTGACTGTGGCTATATCATCAAGACGACCTTAAATAAATACAGGACTAAGGAATTAGATTTTTGTCCAAGGGTAGAAAAGATTCTGAGGAGAATGCCTTGACCAACCAGTGAGTATATAAAAAGGCAGGGACAGATAGACTATAGATGGAACGAAAGCAGATAGGGGTCTAATGCAATGCTCTGAGTGAAAAGTAATTATGGGCTGTAAATAATCCCACAGATTGAAAACAAAAACAAAACAAATTAAAACCCTTTTAGGTAAACTGACCCATAGATCTAAATGAGATTTAGTAACTGCCAAAAGAAAAAGAGCTACAGTTCACAGTGTTGTTAGACCATATTTTTACCTGGGCATCTGATTGTGTCATCTGCTCAGCTAACTGTAAACAAGAACGGAAGGAGAAAAGAATGTCTTCGCACAAGCTAGTAATTATATCTTTGTGTTTCAGCTGACTCTTTATAACCGACTGGTGCTTAAGGCTCTGCCTAAATGAATAAAAAGAAAAGAATGTAATCACCACAAGTAACACATCAAGTAACTTAGGACCATAAAAATATGACTTGAAAGAACATGTAAAAAATCAAAATGCATCATATATATCAGACACGGCATAATTAAGATGTACTGACGTTACCTCTGAAGCTGTCATGTTAGTTTGAGTAAGTTGATAATTTTTTATTTCTCCTTATAAAATATTAATTGAACTCTTACTATATGCCAGGCACTCTGTGAAGCCCTGGAGATAGAGGGGTGAATGAAAAGACACAATCTCTGCCCTGTCTGCATGGAATTTGTGGTCTAGCACAAAAGAGAACATTAAATAATGTAAGAATAGTTGATTGATTACAGCTGTGATGAATGTTAAGCTGGAAAAGTCCAGGATGCTACAATAGAGAGATCTAATCTAACTGATTCTCAGGGTGAGGATGAAAAGAATGCTACCATCAAGACGTAACACTTAAACTGAGAACTGAAAGATAAGCAGGAATTAGCAAGGTGTAGAGTACAAGAGAGAAGCATCCCAGGCAGAGGGAAAAGCTGTGAAAAGGCTCTGGGACAGGAGAGTTTGTTATGTTTGAGGAGGTGAGAACAGGGAGAGTGCAATGGAGATGGGCTGGTGAAGAAGGCGGGAGCCAGAGAGGATTAGGTTGTTACTCTTAGTAAACTGGGATGGATTTTAAGCAGTAGAGTGACATGATCTAATTTACATTTTTAGAAGATCAGTATGAATGCTGGATAGAAAATGAATCAGAGTGGGGCAAGACTGGAAGATATTCAATGGTGATGGCGATGGCGATGGCGATGGTGTGGTGTGGTGTGGCTAATTCACTGGGCACTCACTGTGTGACTTGCAGAGTTGCAAGCATTTCACACTGATAAACTCAATTCTCACTGTAACCCCACAAAGAAGGTGCTATTGTTATATCTCCCACTTTCAGATGAGCAAACTAAGACTCAGAGAAATTAACCAAATTGCCTAAGAGTTCCAGAGGGGTAAGTCATTTCAGAATGGATTCAAGCATATGCGGTATGGCTGAGTTGACACACTTTGAACCACTGCACTATTACTTGTTGGCAACGTAATGACCTGGTGGTGCAAGAAAAACACCTAAGACCTGAAAGTATTACACTACCTTTAATGTTTTATGCATATGTATAAAGTAGAGGTTCTTAACCATTTTTACATCTCAACTATATCTCCTCCCACCCCCAAGAATCTGATGAATGCTATGGACACTCTCCCTAGCAACCCTTCATAACGCTCTAGTTAAAATTATAAATGGAATTAAAATTGAACAACTCAAAAGTATATAATGAGGGGATTATATTCAGCTCTAATTATGATTATTAATTTATCTAAGCCTGGAAGTAGGATACTTGATAGTCAGTTAAACAACAGTAGCAGTAGGCAAATGGTTAAGACCCATGGCCCATTATTTCAGATGTACTAGCTAACTGAGTAGAACTTTTTTTTAATTTTAGAGAGAGCAGGATAAAGAAGTATGATTTAGTTTGGGAGCTACATGTACAACATTTGGATTATAAGAGAGCAGTGTCAGTAAACATTGTACACACCCATACAAAATGTTTTAAATGCAATCTAAGAAAACTTACAAATAATTAAGACTTTTGGATATGGAAACTATATTACAAAAAGTAAAAACAAAACAAAACAGAAACTTACTTAATTATAAATTTCCAAGTATTGGCATGAAATGCATGGTCCATACTGGAAATAACAGAGCAGATATCCAACAATGAATGAATAACTACAAAGAAAGATAACAGAACTCTTAGGACATTCAAATGTCATATGGGGTGAGTTTCTTCTATATTTAAAAATATCTACTGAACAATTTTGACATTTGCTAAAATAGGCAATACAATTTGAAAAAAATTATCTCAAAATAATTAGTGAAAGTAAGTGTCACGCTTTTGATTTAGGGTTTTTATAAATTATAGAAAATTAAGTTTGATGTTTACACCTACTCTATGACCTAAATAAAACTAAAAATGTTCAGTGGACTAAAAATTATGCCCTATTGTAACTGAAACATTCTACAGATATTCAAATCAAAAATGACAAAATATACTGCTAAGGAAAGAAAACCTAACAAGGAAGAATCAAATGAATTTGCACAGTACTCATTAAGGCTTGTACTTTGCCTGAGGTAGATTATTTGTTAAAATGGGCACAATAAACCCCCTTTCTGTGTCCATGCTCTTAGTCAGTTCGCTTCCACAGACCCTGGGCTTCGCGACATAACTTGCTTTGGTCAACAGGACAAAAATAAACATAAACCAAGCAAAGACTTTAAATGTGCCTGCACACTGGGGCCTGCCCTCTCTTGCTGCTCTTAGGACCCCTGAGGCCATCAGCAGGTAGCTGAGCCTGGGCTAACCTGCTGCATGATGGGCTACATGGGACTGGCTCAGGACATTATCTCTCCCTCTGCCGACAAACGACCATGAGTGAGGTCAGTGACCACAAACTGAGTGAGCCAGTTACACCATGTGAAGCAGAGAAAGCTGTTCTACCTGAGCCCAGCCTAAAACACTAACTCAGAATCATGAATAAATGAAACAGTAGTTGCTTGATTTCTTTCTTCCTTCCTCTCTCCCCCCACCTCCCTCTCTTTCCCTCCATCTCTGCTTCCTCCCTCCCTCCCTCCTTTCTTTTTTCCTTTCTTTCTTTCCTTCTTGCCATGCCACGTGGCTTGCGGGATCTTAGTTCCCTGACCAGGGATTGAACCCAGGCCCCAGCAGTGAAAGCACCAAGTCCTAACCACTGGGCGGCCTGGGAACTCCCTAGTAGTTACTTTAATGTAATAGATTTTTGGGTTGGTTTGTTACAGAGCAAAAGATACCTGATAATACTGCACAAAACCACCTTACTCTCTTTATGCTGAAGCTATGAATGCAATCTTTTTATTAGAGTACTGCTTTTCAAACTCTGGGCCATGATCCATTGGTAAGTGATGAAATTAATAAAGTAGCAATCAGCAATTCTTTAAAAATGAAATAGACTATAATAGAGTACGTTATTTCAAGTACAATAAATAAATGTAGTATATACATACACATTCACAAACATACATACAAGTATGTAATTATATGTGTTCTGGGAAGAAATGCAAACTTCATTTCTTACTATGAAGTTATGGTTTAAAAACACTGAAAAAGCTACTGCTTCAGAATTTGGACTACTTTAGAGGGTATAAAATTGCATAACTTTCTTTGTTAATCACTGTGGAGTAACAACCTACTTTGAACATTGACTAAATATATAAATCTATGTTAATGCATCAAGTATCAATTTTACAAAATCTAAAATTTAAGAGATTAAAAGTTTATTGGGTAGGATTTAAATTTTTTTACACATAATATCATGAATCATTAGAAACACTGGGTTCAATAATTTAACTGATGTACAGTTTATAGTCAATATACATCATATACTAAGTAGTAAGTTTTTTTCACTCACCTACTACCATATTCAAAATGTCATCATTCTCATCTATTAAAGGGTCCATGCAAACCATATCCAGCAGTTCCATTAGCTGCTTTTGAAGAGAATAGGCCTCCTTGAAAAGAGCCTGCAGAAGGTCTGAGACTAGGTGTAAACGCCCAGAATAAACAGATTCGCTATTCTGATCACAAAGGAATAAAAACGAGAGAAAAAGCAAATCATAAAAAACTCAAGAGCCACATTTATTTTAATTCATTCTATCAGAGCTCATAAATGTAATGCTTTTAGAGAGTAGGTGGGTGGGGAGCATATGCAAAACATGGGGTGCAGAATAGCATCAGATGTAAGCTGGTGCAGCCACTGCGGAGAACAGCACAGAGGTTCCTCAGGAAACTAAAAATAGAATTACCATGATCCAGCAATCCCACTCCTGGGCATATATCCGGACAAAACTATAATTCAAAAAGACACATGCATGCCTATGTTCATAGCAGCACTATTCATAATAGCCAACACATGGAAACAACCTAAATGTCCATCGACAGATGAATGGATAAAGAAGATGTGGTACATATATACAATGGAATACTACTCAGGCATAAAAAAAGAACAAAGTAATACCATTTGCAGCAACATGGATGCAACTAGAAATTATCAGACTAAGTGAAGTCAGAAAGAGAAAGACAAATACAATATGATATCACTTATATGTGGAATCTAAAATATGACACAGGGACTTCGCTGGTGGCGCAGTGGTTAAGAGTCCGCCTGCCAATGCAGGGGATATGGGTTTGATCCCTGGTCTGGGAAGCTCCCACATGCCGCAGAGCAACTAAGCCCGTGCGCCACAACTACTGAGCCTGCGCTCGCTCTGAAACAGGAGAAGCCACTGCAATGAGAAGCCCACACACCGCAATGAAGAGTGGCTCCCACTCGCAGCAACTAGATAGAGCCCACACACAGCAACAAAGACCCAACGCAGCTAAAAATAAATAAATAAATTTATAAAATAAAAAAAATATATATATGACACAAATGAACCTGTCTATGACAGAAACAGAATCACAGAGAACAGACTGGTGGTTGCCAAGGGGGAGGGGGTTGCAGGAAGGATGGAGTGGGAGGTTGGGGTTAGCAGATGCAAGCTTTCATATATAGAATGGATAAACAACAAGGTCCTACTGTATAGCACAGAGAACTATATTCAATATCCTATGATAAAGCATAATGAAAAAGAATAGTAAAAAAGAGTAAGGTACATATATATATAACTGAATCACTTTGCTGTACAGCAGTAATTAACACAACACTGTAAATCAACTGTACTTCAATTAAAGAAAAGAATTCTCACCAGCAAAAAAAAAAAAAAAATTTAATGATTCTTAGTGAATGACATATTCATTCATTAAACAAATGTTTAGTGAACCTCCATTATACATAGTGTACTTTGAGAGATGCAGGTATGTATAAAATATGATTTCTGACTTCCAAGATCTTACAAATATAGAACTAAAAGGGAGCTAATAACATTAGGTCCAGTGCATGACATTTCAGTACCCTGTCACCAAAGAGAAGCATTAGTTAACTAGCAATTTTCATTCATCCAACAAACAGCATTATCAAAACTTCCTGTGACCCACAAATCCTAGGTCAGCTTTTGTGCTTTAAAGCTGTCTCAGGACTAAATAA